TGGGCTATTTTTTTAGCTTTCTCCTATATTTAATATAGTAGAAAGGTTTCCAAGAGAGTGACCACAGTGAAACCTGTATGAAGCAGACACCCTCGGGGATTGCTGTAGTGTCCGCTTAATACAGGGTGTTTGACTAATACAGGTTTCAATAGATAACGTCATATGAGGTGTCAAATGCCATTCAAATGAACAGTGGAAATGTTTAGCAGTACTCCCAGAGACTATGACGATATCAATTGCATTAATTTCTTTATTTAAGTGGACCCATAAAAGTACCATAAACATAGATTGCAACTCAAATTTGAAGAAATCAGATGAGTGAAACAAGCTCTATACAAACAAAATGAAATAGAAAACAATACTGTACTATGAAACTAATCAAATAAGTTCATCAAGTCACGTTTTTTGATTTAAAAATTGAAAAATTTGTGGGTGGCAATCTTTCACATTTCTGGTGTCTGGCATGTTGGGTGGTGGAATTCAATTATTACAAGTGTGCATTTAATACAGGTTGGAAACAATAGAAATGACCATTTCAGGTACTTTTTAGGTGTCCGCGTCCACTTAATAGAGGTGTCCACTTAATAAAGGTTTTATTTAAAGTAAATAAGGGAAATAAATTTCGGGACTTCGGCTACTGTCCGCTTAATAGAGGGTCTCCCCTTAATACAGGTTTCACTGTAGTTTATCAATTAACATTTTCCTATGGAACTACTAAGTATACCAATAAAGCAGAGTTTACAACAGACTGGCAATGCTGAGTAGCTGACTTTTCTAACTTTACTAACAAGATTAGCTCAGTCAATAGAGTGCTTGACTACAAAGCGAGAGGTCGTGGGGCGGGACCAATGCGGGTACTTTCTTAGCCCTACGGATAGCTAGACTTTCATGTGGCTTGGATGACTACCTACAATGTCAGTCCCATCTCCAGAAGGAGGCATGAAACTAGTGTCCTCAATTAGTACGTTTGTGCTAAATACATTGACACTCAAATAAAGTACTTTTTTTGAGGGGGTGTAATCTTTTAACCTTGACCAGTGAGTTGTTGAATTTGATGGGGCTAAAAAATTAATACTTTTATCAGCAGTCACAAGATTGTTTCCAATGATAGAATCTGTTTTTAAGTTGAATATTTAGTTTCATTTTCATGGAAAGAACTGACTAAGAATTATCTGTTAGAAGGATACCCGTTCTGGATATGATAGACTAAAGCCAGTACACTTTACTAACTTATCCTGAGTTATTTCTTGACACTGTTTTCCTCAAGTCAGACAATCATTCTAGTTTCAGGTGAGATAATAATCATGCGGGCTGCTACAAATTTCTGACATTATATGATCAGATCTGTTTGTCTTCCCCAGACCCATTTTTGAAAAGCTAGAGGGAGATGGTAGCTTTTGGGAACAAACAAGAGTCAATGCTAGTTCTGAGTAACCACTGTTAGTCAAACGGAACATACAGTCTGTTTCAGACGCTAAATATACCACTGTAAATGATTGCATTTTTCGGATTACTGTATAGGCGGTGGAAGTGGGGGGGCTGGGGGGGCTTCAGCTCACCCCACTTTTTATTGTGAAGGGGCAGAGCCCCCCCCCCAACTTTTGTAGAATATCAACTATTTTTGGAAAGTTCAAGTAAACGTCTAGTTGTTTGACAGTTTAAAACCAAACAACATACTTAGCCGGTTGGATTAGGACGTTTCATTTTTTAATCTGCACTCCCTCCCTCCCCCACCGGACTATGGAAGGCTATCCTATATAGTTTTTGTTGTTGGTGCCATTTAAGATAGTATTGGTCCAAAATGTTTGTAGCCCGTTCCCAGTACTCCATTATCCGAACGCCTGGACAATAATGATGTTGTCGGCGTCTTACAAAAAAAGATGGAAGCCGTCTTTTATTGCTTATTAGGGGGGGGGGATGGAATGTCCAATTTTATTTTCAGCCTCCCCCCTCCCCCACTTTTTAAGAAATTATGATTGATTGGCAATATCTCCTACTTGGATGCTCAGAACGGGAGGAAATTTTCCCTGACTGGAAATCGTTAGGTCCTCTTGTGTCATGGCATAATACATGCAATACTGAACTTCTGTTGTGCCCAATGAGCATTATAGAAAAATCAACAACTGCAACAAAACTGCAAACTGCCTGGGAGATAAATTTTAGTAGTTTGTTTAGATTTTTTAACCATTCATAAAGTATTAACTGCCATGAGAGGAAACCATTTTATTTAGCCCTCTGATCATTTAGCCCTAGTTACTTAGGTTCTTATTTTTTTAGTCGCTGAGACCTTAATGATAAAGTCAATATTATTAGCCCCATAAATGGAGATCAGCCCCCAAGACATTCAACTTGTATTTACTAATGCTGTACGCTTTGTCTTTTCCCTGGAGAGGCAAAGGATAAACAAAGCCTTCCATACAGAAACCACAATCACTGGTACCTTTTCTCATAAATTCTATAACATGTATACAAAATTTTCCCAAACTGCTACTTTTTGTTGTAATTTTGGTAATTGTGAAGAATATAATAATAACTCCCCTACGTCAACTTTCAGCCAAATGTCCGCCAACTGTTGCCTGACAGTTAACCGAGACATTACCGACATTATTACTGACACCTTACCTACATCTGCATTAGGGATGCTACCCTAACTCTGCACAAAGAATTGTTAAATATATATAGTGTCAAAACGCCAGGAGATTATGAATCAGTATTAGTGTAATGTTTTTTGGCTATATTTCAATTCTGTGCTCAAAATGATTATGGTGAGAAATACACAAGTTTTATCAAGTTTTGAATGAAGCAACTTACCAAAGGGTCACTGACAGTCTAAAAAATGTGCGTTGTGAGAAAACTCGGTAGACAGTCGACCGACTGACAGTTGGCCAACAGTTGACCAACTGGTGGTTGACTGTTGGCCAACAGTTGGTCTGCTAGTCAACCATTGGTCATCTGTCAGTTAGTTGCTATTCACAATTACGGTCATTTTTAAGACACTATTAAGTTAGGAAGAACAAGCATAGGTTCTTAGATAGTTAAGATTTTTTTCCAGTTGCTGTTCATCGCCATCATTTTGAATCACAACATCAAATATCTCATTATCAAGTCCACATTCAGACTCAGCGTCATCCACACCGGGTGTAAATACCCAACCTCTTGATCTTCTTGTCTCCTCTGAAGCATTTATCCGCACACTTACAACTTTGTCGTAATTTTCTTTGAAGTAACGTACATCGGTTTTTCTCCGTGCGTCAGATATTATCCACACTGGTTTGGGAAGAGAAAGAGTTTCGCCACAATTTTCAGCGAGAATCATTTCTACTGCTAATCTGCAAAAGTAATATGAGTCAGCGTTTCTTTTCTCCTCTCCCCATCCAATCATTTTCTGACGGTATAGTTCCTTGTAAGTCGTAGAATCCATCAGTCGATCAAAATCCAGTCCGTTTTGTTTCGCATATTCACGTTTCAAAGGACCGGAGAGTCTGATAATATTACATTTGTCACAACCAAAGGCGTATTTTAGTTTGCCTGCAATAAAATCTTTTCCCGATTTTCGTTTTCCACTCAAGACGAAGATTCGGGGAGATGCAACTTCTTTTCCATCAGCCATATTGAAGAAGAAAGCTTACATACTATAGTTATTCCTCATATTACTCTCCGCTGACCAGCTGAGCTCGTGCCAGACCTCACCCAGCTGCTTGTCTCAAGATGGCCTCCGAGAAGGATGACTTTTCTCAATACATAATTTCTCGCGAGGTTGATATAAATCTTTTAAACTGCGGCTCTGCCTTTTCTGGACTAACAGAAAAAGAAAAGCTTTATGCTCATTACCTGTGTCGAGCGTCATGGGAGGGTTCTCTCATTTGCTTGCTTCAGACTTCTCCTGAGTCACCAGGAATCTTTTTACTTTTACAAAACTTATTCCATGCGGAACCTATAGAGAAGCTTGTAGAGAGACTTTTACGGATTGAAAATGGTCCTTCCAAGGATGAAGTAGAGGTAAGTTACAAATAAGAGGTGGAGTACTTGCAGAATATCCGGCCCACTAAATGTCTTGCTTGGAATTGAAAACTGCTCCCGCGGTCCCACAGTCGTGTTCTATTGTTAAATACTTAAATAAAAGTGTGTAAAACGAGTGCTCCTACAGTCTTGCACTCCTGCAGTCGCTGAAAAGTGATAATCCTGCATATTTTCTGGCCTGAGACTATCTCCAACCAAGAACTTCTCTCCCGTTGTAACCAAGAGAGCATGGCGACCATCATCATACGAAGGCGATGGGGATGGATCGGAATGTCACCCGCAGAGAGCAGGGCAGCATCACAGCCCTACAGCATTGGACACCAGAAGGAAAACATAAGTGGGGACAACCCAAGAACACCTGGAGTCAGACAGTGAAAGGGGAGCTCAAGACCCTACAGCATACCTGGGGAACCATTCAGAAGCTTGCCCAGAACAGAAAGGAGTAGTGATCCTTTGTTCCTGCCCTGCATGCCTGAAGGCATTCATGGGCATGAGTGAGTGAGTGAGTGAGTGTGAGTAAAACGAGTGCTCCTACAGTCCCGCACTACTGCAGTCGCTGAAAAGTGAATATTAACTGGGTATACAACTGGTGCTTCTGCAGTCCCTCACTCCTGAAGTCAATGTTAAGTAACTGGTGTACTCTTAGAATGAGGTATACTAGTGCTCCTGCAGTCCCGCAGTCCCCTAGTAGACGTCAGAATTTATTATGCAAATTGGATGACTGTGAGACTGCTGGAGTCTTAGTTCACTTTGATGAGAGCGGTGTTTAGAGGGTACTGTCATATAATTTATCAGCATACACAGGCTTGTCTTTTACACCCTTGAAATCTAGGCGTGAGGATATTATTTTTAGAATATTGATATATGGTTCATATTTAGTCTGCAATATTAAACTAGGGGATTTTTGTGCATTCAAAGTCTAGAGTAGCAAAAAATCAGGGTCTGGTACAATAAAATTTGACCTTCAGAGGTAAGTGATCAAGATATCTGAAACTATAATGTACAGTGTGTAAGTTGTGTTGTAGTTTATTCGTTATCGGGGAATTTTTTTTATGTACAAAAGAACATCCTCTCTTAATCTCTTAGAATTTCTTGATATATGCTGCTGCTTTCTATGGTAACCTTGGTAACTACAAGTCTTTTGGGGATACCAAGTTTGTTCCAGATTTACCCAAGGTAATTATATCTGAAACTGTCAGGCTCATTTCTCTAGTTACCTGCTGATTATACATAGTGTTTGATGTTAATAGACATTCAGGCTGTGATGATATTGTGTCAACAAAGATGCTAATCTTTTTCCTCTTCATTGTTTTCTTTTTCTGCCTGATCTTGAATGATTTCTTTGGGCTGTAGTACAATATACCTGACTTACTTGTAGTCTTGAAGATTGGGATAGTTTAATTATTATTTTCATGCCCCCAATTTACAGGTGGGCGTTTTTTTCCCTCTGAGTGGGTAAAACCTTATTTTGCTTGGATCTTTAAGGAAAAACTTCAAAGCATCATCTTCTCCAGCAAGGCCTATGAAGATGATCCTAAGAGAATGGAACAATTATGGAATGCTTGTGAGGATGCAATGTTCTCTCTCAACCCCAGAACACAGCAGCTAGGCCTTGGAGAACAGGTATTCAAAAGATTTGTCAATCCACCTGCCTTATAATTACTTTAAATTACTGGTAAAATAACACAGCCCTGTCAAAGTGAGCTGACGCCCGGCAATTTTTCCACCTTTAGTGGAACGTTTGCTTCCTAATCAACACTTGAGTTTATTAATACTAAATAAAAACTACACAAATTTAGGTCTTTGTTGCCTGTTTCTGTGTGGCTATGTCTCCTGCTGAGTATTGTGAAACGCGTTGACTGGTTGGAAAATAGTGTCAGTCATATTACTTGTTATGGGTACCATGTTGGAAAAAGAACTTCTTTTATACCTCTGTGGTTATTGTTGACCACCACTCATTCCTGGAAAAGGTAATACCTTCAACCTATTCTTTTTAGGGCCTTTCAACATACTATTCTAGTAACTGTACCAAGACTGATGCTGAATTTGCTCAAGAGTTTATGAAAGAAAAGGTACGATTGATGCTTTCTTACAATGTAAGTTAGGTGTATAAAAATGTTTTTGGTCAAAATTAAATTCACAGGGCTCGAAATTATAACTCTCTGGTCGCCAGTGGGACTAAAATTTGAGCGATGGCTGCTACATTTTAAGACATGGTTGCCAATAGGCCAGTCACCTTATGTTTTAATAAAAAACCTCCAATCACATCTCTAATTAATAGAGTAATGAGTTTACTGGTGGTAAAACAGAGTATCGTTCTGTGTTTTCCAGCTACTCAAAAACGTGCGCGAACAAATTACCTTTTGTCAAGGAGAAGCGTAGATAACGCAAGACTTACAATGTACAACTTTTGCCATATGTCAGATTGTTTCTTCAATATATGTGTATGATGTTAGGCCCGGTTCAGACGCCATACCTTTCATAAACCAAACCTAATACTTTGAATTAGGTACATGAAAAGTTTCGCATCTGAACAGCTCAGCCGTTCTTTTCATCTAGCCCAGCCGGGAATTTCCTTTGAGCTTCTTTGGAAAGGCTTTGATTTAGATGCTGAACTTTTCTTGTACCGAACCTAATGCATATTATAATGTATTTTGTAAGCAGTTTGACCGAAATGAGCACTTTCTCCTTTTGAATTAAGTTTGGCTGGAATTAAGATCGGCATCTGAATCAATTCAGCCGGTCGAAATAATTTGGGTCGGCCTTAATTTGAATTAGGTTTGGCTCATGAAAAGTTCAGTGAACCGGGCCTTAGACTGAGACAAGGGTAGTGTTGTATGAACAAATGTACAGGTGAATAAAAAATAAAAGCAAAGAGTAAAATTGTACAAACTAAGGGAACTGATTGAACATATTGTTGGACACATCAAGCATCATTGAATAATCGAAGTAGTTCATGATTTGGCAAAGAAGTGAGCCTAATAAATAACCCAACATGTAAGTTTTAGGAGCCATGCATGGAAACCTCTTCCACTGGTGTATGAGGATTTCAGTCTGAAAAAGTCTTTCACAGATTTTACTACTACTCCAGGAAATGAAGAAGTAACTAAAGGAGCTCCTTCATTGTACTAGTATTTTCTTCTGACATAACTGTCATACTGCCTTGAAGTCATAAACTGGTGACCAAAAAGTTCGCCAGCTGGCGCCTGAATGAAAAAGTTAATTTTGAGACCTTATTCATGTTGAAATGTTTTAACCTAGGTTGATTCTCAGTTTCCTCTGTCTCCTAGTCATGATTATTCATGAATTAGGGCTAGAAGACAAAGGAACTTGAGAATTAAACTAGGTTAAATAATACATTATTTGCATTTACCGTTAGTGTTTGTATAATACTGTCCCCACATAAGAGCCTTTGTTTTTGTAACAAGATGTCTCCCTCACGCTTATCTTTGCAAAGTGTGGCTAAAGATAATCTATGTTAATTCCTCACCAGGATTTCCATTGAAGTTATTGAGGGATATCTAAGAATATTTTTTAGTAGCCACTCAACATTAAAGCCAGGGTTAAAGTATCTGTGGATTTATTTTTTCAGGAAATAGAAACATACAATACCAGACTGTTTAAGGACGAAAAGAATGGCCAAGTAACCTACATTCTTCGTTTGGCATCAGTTGTAGCTACTGGTAAGATAAGTTATTTTTCTTTTACAATTTGTCATTACTTTTTTTTATAGAAAGTCCATTGACTTGTGTTAGTCTGTGTAATCAAATGGTGACAAGTGGAATAAGAAAATACACCTTTTGCTGTTCATTACGAGAAAATACGCATTCATTTGTGTGAAATGGCGACCAACAGCGCGGAGATACATTCATTAGCACGAAAATACAAACATCTGGGCATAAATCAGATTCAATTACAATTTTTGCATTTTAATCAACATTCAATAACACTTTTGGGCATTCATATGCATCATTGGGCATACAAAAGAGAAAAATATACTTTCATTAATGCCAACATCAAAGTCATTAACACCATTTTGAAAGTCAATAGGGACAACTGACATACATTAAAGTGCAAACACTATTCATTAACATTTTTATGACACTGTTTGCAATTCAATAGCATTTCTGGACAACCTTATGATGGATAAGACAAACATTAATTAAATGCGCTTGTACAATCAATTGAGTGATCTTTACATTTAAATATATACAAAAATCGATTTTCAATTAGACAATACAAATTCAAACAAATTTGGCCTGAATTTTAGTCCGTTAAATGTATATCCCTCAAAAACCTCACTATTTAAACATTTTGGGAGGTAGGTTTGCATGGAATGGTACCCCTTAGCACATTTAGCTGCGGTCACAATGTCATGTTTCACTGCAGAGCTTCAGCAAGCACTGCAGTTGTTGTTTCCAAACTCCGCTAGTGGGATTGCTGGGGCTTTGCCCTCTCATTTCTGATATACATCTTTAAATTTCCGGACTCGAGATGTCGGCCTTTGGTATCACTTTCATACAACTTAAATCTTTTTCAACGATGTCGAGTTGGGAAGCATAAGTTGTGTACATATGGGGTAGGAATGGCCAAATCTAGGTGGGCTGGCACCCCGTCATATTCAAAGACCACCGACTTATCGGGATCCATTTTTTCCTCGCCCGTGCCAGAAAGTCACCGAAAAACTGACACAGTCTTCATTACTCCAGCAGCTGCCAAGGAAAACATTTGATAGGTGATATTGCCATGCGCATATTCAAGTTTCACCTTGTTGGCCGCACACTTGGCGGTACACCCTCCACTCCCTGTCGCGCCCCACCATGACTTCTGGCCGAATAGGGTAAATGTATAGCCGCAGCCGTCAACGAACACACAGTGGCGAAGTACGGCGTGATTCTTTGAACAAATTCAGGCCAATTTTGGGGACAATTGGTATTGTTTAATTGAAAATAGATTTTTGTCTATTAAATGTAAAGAACGCTCAATTGATTGTCCAAGCGCATTAATGTTTGTCTTATCCATTCTCAAGCTGTCCAGAAATGCTATTGAATTGCAAACAGTGTCATAAAAATGTTAATGAATAGCGTTTTTCACTTAAATGTTTGTCTATTGTCCCTAATGATTTTCAAGATAATGTTAATGACTCGAATGTTGGCGTTAATGAAAGTATATTTTTCTCTTTTGTATGCAGAATGACGCAAATGAATGCCCAAAAATGTTAGTAAATGTTGATTAAAATGCAAAATGTTTGCTTTGTCGCACTAATGAATGTATCTTCGCGCTATTGGTCGCCGTTTCATGCAAATGAATGAATATTTTCTTGTAATGAACAGCAAAAGGTGTAATTTCATGCATGTTTTGTCCAAATTCTGATTGATTATTAGGATTTGGACAAAGTGCAAGTGAAATAGTCCCTAATTTCACAAGTATATGTTGTGGTTCAATTTTATCCTTGGTTTAAATTTTATTTTCTTTTGTTTCAAACTCATTATCATACATTACCATACCCAAAAACAAAGGGAAAAAAAATTTAAACCAAGGATAAAATTGAACCACAACATATACAATAAAGTTACCTGTTAAATATCATGGGTGACAAATTATGCTCACAGTTATAGTAATTGTAGGTTTTTGACTTTGTTATAGTTAGTATCGATCCAGAACTCCACACACTGAAAAGTTAACTTTATAGCTTAACGTCTGGCTTAAGTTGATGCTACCTGTATCTTGGCACTTAGATGTATGGAAATTTTGTAACTTCACACTTTTTCTCCTCAATTTTTAAAGCACTTATTTAGAATTAATCACATTAATGTGCAATAATGAAGAAACCCAGGGTAGGAAATATGAGATCTTCTTATGTAAACATGGTTCTTGTTGAGACTTGAACGAATCAATGATCAAAGAGGTGTGAGAGAGCAGGGCACTCTACAAATAACAAAAAAAATTGAATAAAAATACTAATATTGTACAGTTGTAGTGGAGCTCTCACGCGCCCAAGTGTGCACAGCGGAGCACCATGGGCAAAATTTGGTTATCTCTGCATCCAAGAAATTTTGGTTCGTCTATACATACGTCCACCACCACATGTTAGGGGATGTGAAATGGTGCACTTTAATACTAGCTAGGAGTCCAATAGGCATATGCTACAGTGTACCTGTGTAAAAGGAGTGTAGCTAAATGTCATGGGGCATGGGTAGTGGGTAGAGATCGTGGGTCATGGGTGTGGGTGGTGGGTGTGGGTAAATGTCGTGGGTAAAAGTTTTTTCATGAAACAAAAATCTTCACATACCACATACATACCAGGAGTCCTATTCCTCTTTCATCAGCAAAGCAAATAAGCGAATCCTTTAGTACAAATGGACACTAACAACTAAAAGGCATTTAGGCAACAAATAAAAGAAACTCTCTACACTATGTAAGTTACCTGAATCAGGCTAAAGAAAAACTGGAGACTGAACTGCTTTTTCTCAAAGGTGTCAACATTCATGACTGAAACGTCCTTTCATTTTAAGGAATGATATTCAGAATCGTTACAGCAAAGATTTTGTACACAAAACAAAACAAAAAAGAGTTCGGAAAATTACATTTCCGTAGGGCAATAAAATTTACATACAGTCTTGCCTTAACTTGAAAGGTTGAGCATGAAGGTGGTTCCTTCATAAGCTAACAGACCTAAAACTTCTTTAAGGATTTCTACCCCAAAATATGAAATAGCTCAAAATTGCCTTTTTTTCCCCTCACTTCCCCTCCGCTTTCCCATGGTTATCACTTTTTATTGTGTTTAAAAATCTCGCTTATCATTGGAATTGTAGATCGAATAAAGCATCTATTTGACATTTAAAGTAAGCTTATTCACCTTAAGCCGTGTCTGAATTTTGTTTAGATCAGAATTTATTTCAACTTGTAATTATAAGGTATCAGCATCTTCGGCTGTATGCATTTAAGTGATGTCGTCCGCAAACATTCTGGGCCTTGAGAACGGTTGACATTGGGGAAAGGCCATTTATGTATAAAATAAACAACTGTGGACCAAGAAATGATCCTTGAGGAATTCCACATGCTAACGTACAGAAATCACAAAGTTCACTGTCAACAAAAGTTTTCTGTTTTTGCCCTGTAAGATATGATTTAAACCTTGCTAACGTTTGGAACCTAACTCCATAAAACTTGAGTTTCTGGGAGAGGATAGAGTGGTCCATGGTGCCAAAGGCTTTTTTTAGATCCAAAAAAACAACACACTAAATTAAAAGACTGTTGTTGTGTCCCCTTTGAACCAAACAACCAGCCAATTGTGAGAAAATAAAAATGCAAATGAAGCCCTAACAGTGCACTGTGTGTGATCTCTCCATGAATTTTTTTTAGCGGAACCATGTCTTGGTGCCAGTGGAGAGGAAGATAAAATGGCATCTCTTCTTGGCTCACATAAATTTAAAGGCTGCTCCTTTAGGGTTGAGAGAGGCGATTATTCTGGAATTCTGAGAAAGGTTGTAGAAAATTTGGAAAGAGCAAAGGTATAAACTACATGTATACTACCAAAAATAATATTTATTGTTTTATAGTAACTTAATGAAAGAGTTAGTTTCAACTGAAAAGAAACTGGTGCTGCATTGTAATACGTGTAATTAATTTACCACACTTTAAATGGATTGAGTTGATTACAAAGGGCTAGCTCCTCAAATGTCAGCTTTTCAATCTTTTTACAGTTGGTGAATTGATTTATCAATTCAGTTTGTAAGCCAATTTCTGAAATACTCATATGCTTGGATGTAGCTAAGGAAAAGCTAAGCAGGTTATTTTATTAGTCAAGCCAGCTTTTTCACTCGACTGTACCTTCGAAATTAACCTGGGCAAGGTTCGTACAGGTCATGAAAAACCTGGAAAAACATGAAATTAACCCATTCACCCTTGAGAATTTTGCCGAAAAACGTGTTTTGAAGCTAGTCGAGCCATTTTCTAGTCACTATCTGGCTGTCTGGCAGCATAAAATGTGGCGTAATGCAATGGTTGCAGCAAGATAACGAGATATCTTTGTACACAGAAAGAGTACATCAGCAAAGATGTTTGTTGTGTTAACCTTTACGTGGTCTTGTTTCAGGAGTTTGTTTCTAATGACAATGAACTGTCCATGTTAAAGAACTACATCCACAGCTTCAATACGGGATCTATTAATGCGCATAAAGATGGATCTAGGTTTTGGATAAGAGATAAAGGACCCATTGTAGAAAGGTAAGAACCAGGGGGGGCTGGCAGCGAGGTCTGGAACCGAGTTTACATGATCGCCCCAGTTAAGAAATTCGGCCGAGTGAGACTGAGTACAAATTTTCCTTGAAAACAAATATGGCGGAGAATGCAGACATGGAAGGACGATGAGTTTTTGCTCGGTTTTAAGTTTTCCCGCGTACAAATATCAAGAAAAGGTTTCTATGAACTTTTTTAATGGACCTTTTGGACATCAGGAGGCGTGATGTATGAACAGTTCATGGGTGACTTCACTCATCGTGATTCGGGAACTCGGCAAGTTCAGTTATTTTTACGCTTCGTGAACTTTCGAGCGACCGTCTTGCTCCATCTCTTATATTTTTCCACTTACAGTGGTATTAAGACTCTCTTCCTTATCTTAAACATATGCTACAAGCACAATATATTGGTATGACTCTTGCAATAATCATATGTGAATGTTCATTAAACCACTGATTTTCTACTTCGCTGTTCGTAAGTTTGTTGGTGTACACCGGCAGACACAACAAATATTTATGGGCGTAAATACAGAATACAGGGCCAATTTAGTAAAAACCAGGGTAAATGTTCCAATCACTTTGCTTCACATATACTAGGTCTGTCAGTATAAGCTATTTTTAATATCAGAAGGCTGGGAGGGGTTTACTGAACCTTCAAAACCTTCACTAGAATATCATTGGAGTGATAATCAACAAATTTCCAACTGCAATACCGTATTTAGTAGTTTTGTATTATATAGTGACTTCGGTTTCAAGTATTCCTTGAAATTGTTGGTACAAAAATTACCCTTCAGTTATGAATTATACTTGAAATCATTATAGTGGTTTAGTGTAAGACAAGAGGCTAATTCAGTTGCTAATAAGAGTGAGTACATCAGGAAAGAGTATGCGTTGAGAAAATCCCTCAAAGGACTGAAGTACAGGAAACAGAAAAAAGAAAACTGAATGTTTTGCAAAGTTTATAAAGAAAATCAGAAGAGTGACGCTTGAAAAATATACAGCTTAAGTTTATTGTTTGTGTAAGTTATGAATTTGATTTACAACTAAATTATACAAGGTAAAATTGATTTTTTATCAACCATCAAAAGAAGTTATTGTCGGGCTTGAGCCCTATCCTCTCAGCAGTTCTTTCTATGATACTACCCTTGGCTTATTTGGCCTAGATGGGTATGTGCTGCTGATTTAGGGTGGTGACCATTTCACCCTTTAGAGTTTTGAACAAGGTGTCTGTTTGGGTTGTGAAGGTTGAAGAAGAAGCGGTCTATAGAGTAAAGTCTATTGGTACCTCCCCCCCAAGTTTTGCCATGTTTCTAAGTTTAAAAGCTACCTTAATTCTGTATGCTAAAGGAAATGAATCAGGATTATAAAAGAAGGTCTCTTGGCTTAAAAAGGGTAGGGAAATGAACAATGTGTCCTACTACCCATACTCTCTTTCAGTGTAAGCCCAGGGAGGTGATCTCACATTTTAATTCCCTTTTACCACTTGTTGTAACAGCAAAGTCAGTGAAGGTTTATGGTCTCTGAAAAATATTCTTGCCAGCCTCAACACAAGTTTCTAACTGCTACTGTTGACTGTAAATAATATTATCTTAATAATCATTTTACATTTTTTTCCAAGGCATCCTAGGGTGTTTTCAATATCCACTAGTACAGGGCAATTTTTAAGTTCAAAGGGTTTACTTTGATTTCATTAACAGTAAACTACATTTTTACACAGACACAAACTAACCTGGCAGGTTGATGTCCAAAGGCGTAAAACATTACATGCAACTATAAGGCAAAAACTGATCACGATGGCCAAAGGAAAGGCAAAAATAGAATGTCATCATTTTTTTAATTTCATAAATTCCCTTTGAAGCATATTTAGCCAGATGCAGTCCTTGTCAAAACATGCAAACTTGAACATTTATTTTCTGACCTTAGCTAATCTTTTTGAAACCATAGTCTTGTTCCAGTGGGTAGTGTAGTTTTGGAATAAAATATTTATAATTTCTCCCTCTTTGTTTGCAACAAAACAAAACACAATTGAATGAGGACTGAAACTGAAGGCAGTGTAGTAACTGCTGTCATGAAAAGAGAATTCCAAACACAAAAAATAATTACCCTTTCATTTGCCTATATTCATTTCTTAGAAACTACCGTAAAGTTTAAATTAGATCACACGAAGATAAGAACTTAAGCATATCAAGAGTGAATGATTTATTTAGCTTCTAGTGCATAACAAAATACATGAACTACGAGATTTGACCATATACCACTCAATCATCCAACGCAACTCTGCCAGGATAAGTTCATAATCAAGGATGAAGAATTAAGAATCTCAATTATCATTTCTTTTCGTCTTAAAGTTGTAATAAAACCGTAAACAACTCTGACAACTCTTCTACTTGACCACGGCCACCGCGCTTTTTTTAATATCACGAAGGATTAATTTTCAGCCTTTCACTTGAAAATATAAACTCTTCTACATACCCATTGGAGGGTTGGCCCTTCTTCTAGTTTTGTGGGGCTTCTAAACAGAAACACAGCTTGAAAGCCTGTAGTGAGCCAAAAGGTCGGGCATCGAGGAACATGTACAATGACTGTTCACTGGTCTCGTTCTTAGCGTAGTAANTTTACGTGGTCTTGTTTCAGGAGTTTGTTTCTAATGACAATGAACTGTCCATGTTAAAGAACTACATCCACAGCTTCAATACGGGATCTATTAATGCGCATAAAGATGGATCTAGGTTTTGGATAAGAGATAAAGGACCCATTGTAGAAAGGTAAGAACATAACGGAATATAAGTCTACATTGTTGCATAATTGCTGGAGTTGAACTTTTTATTTTCACCATGAAAGGAAACCAGTCAACTGGCCAGCTTTGCTAGTTACTGAAGAAATTAAAGAAGTTTTTGTATTTCTTGTTCTTTAAACGCGCTTCGTTGAAGGTTTGAGTATCCCTCTTATATTTTTCACCGTGTATCAAAGTTTTTTGAAGTAGGCATGCAGGTTGACCGCAATTTTGTTTTATAGTAATTTTAATGATCAAGCTTAATCAGTCCCATCTTATAAGAATATTAATGAGCAGACCTTTTTTCTTTTCAAGTTAAAAGACAAATTCTTTTCTCTACCGCCGCGAGGTTTTGCTTATTTTCATTTTACTTATTCTTTAATTACCATTCCAATGCTCTCATTCGCGTATAGTTGAAGTTTACTTATCAGACTGAAAAATTCAACGTTACGTTTTTCTATACTGTAGCTATATAGGGTTCATTGAGACATACAGAGATCCTTTTGGTGTTCGAGCAGAATATGAGGGTAAGCCAACTTCTCACTTCCTTCATCCTGTTTCCTTATTTAGTGCTACATTCATTCTTTCACCTTTCCGCTTCAGATTAGCTCGTATTTTATAGGCATCTTTTTAGTTTTGTTTATTTTAGTTTGCGGAGTGAACAATGCTGCCATTATTGATTCGTGATGACATAGCCTGCTTTAAATAGTTAATGTCGCTGTTGTTGTTTTTATAGCTCAGCACCCGTAATAATTACAAACGCCTGTGTAGCGGCGGTGGGACAGTAGGAAACAAACAAACGAGTCAAAAGACTGGAACCCAACAAACAAAACATTGACAATTGTAGAAACTCTGCAGTCCCCCTTCCTCCCAATTTGCAAAAGAAGAAATCAGTGGACTTTTCCAAAAAACTGTCACAAGTTTTTCTATTGACAACTGAATGTAGTGCAAAGGACTGTTCCACTACACTGTAACTCATAATTTTCACCTATATTTTGAACGCCGTCTTCCTGCAGGGTTTGTTGCTGTCGTGAACAAAGAAATGAGTGCCAAGTTTTCGACACTAGTTTCTAGTGCTGAGAAGCTTCTTCCAGACCTTCCGTGGCCTCGTGAATATGAAAAAGATACGTTTTTACGCCCTGACTTTACTTCACTTGATGTAGTTGGCTTCGGCAGTAGTGGGATACCGGCTGGAATTAACATTCCTAACTGTAAGTTGGCTGTAAACCTTCATCACTTTAATTAATGGGTGCATTTTATATTGTGCGCCCGGGTAAACTACTTCTTTCTGTCGATCTCCATGTTCGAATAGTCATGCCTGATAGCTTGCAGCCAATCACAGTCACTTCATGTTTGAGCGTAACTCTCCTAGGCGAACAGGAATGATTTCAGAGGTTTTTTTAACACTAGTTTACACACTAGCGTCAGTTAATCGTATTTGGTTATTTCTATCCTTTTATAGATGATGATATTCGCCAAGAGGAAGGATTCAAGAATGTTTCTTTGGGAAATGTACTTGCAGCTCACACAGTGGATAAGAAAGTTACATTCCTAAGTGACGAAGACCAAGTAAGATGCCATTCTTTATTTCAATGCTACTGCATATAGTATTTCGGCACCATTAAGCAGTACAACATGAATCGAAAAACCGTTAGGTTTATTTTGGCTGTTTCTTTCGAGCACCAAGAACTATAACAATGCGTTATACTACAACTTCTATTTCATTCAAATATGTGGTAGATAAACTAGAAAAGAGCTGAGCGACAGTTTACAACGAATACTGTCAGAACGGAGGCCAGAAAAACCCCGCCGAATAAAATCCCAGTATAGGGAAAATACTCGTGCCCACGTTTACTAAACATGTTTTGCAGTAAAGCACGACGAACTCCAAACAATTATTCGAAAACAAACGAAAAATAACGAAAACAAGCTAAAACCCTCGGCAAACTCGATTTGCCACTTAATGAATTAAATAAATAAAAAGTAAATAAATAAATAAATAATAATGTGGGCTAAAAGAGGTGTCGGCATTTTGCTTTAGTCTCTTTGCATAATTTAAAAGTTAGCTGTCGTTATTGCCTTTGTTTGTTTGTTTGTTTTTTTTTCATCTAAAAAATCCAGGAATTGTTTACGAAGCTTAAAGCGCCAGCTTTTGAGGTTCAGGTTGGCCTTCATGAACTTTTAGGGCATGGAAGTGGAAAACTATTTGTTAAGGTAACTATCTTCAAATGCATGTCTCTTGCAAGATGACGTGTTGTTTCGTTTGAAATCTATTTTTATTCGGTTTTGATTTTCTTTTTCAGCGACAAGATGGCTCTTACAACTTTGATATTGAAAACGTGAAGCACACAGAGACTGGAGAAAAAGTAAGGACGATACTTGCAATTTTTTCACCTTTATCGCTATTAAACTATGAAAGAAAAAGGTTCTATCTTAAGATGTGATCTTGTTTTAATAGTTTTTATGTCGCAAATAAATAGTAACGTGCGCTGAAAGGTTAAATATGAATGTCTAAATTGACAATAATAACGCAGTTATTGTTGAGGATGAACGAATCCACGTTTATGGGAATATTTGAAAAATTTGAGTTACATTAATTCCAAGTAAAAGTTTTGTTTTTATTTCAACATAACGAACTCCAATCTTGAAAATTTTTGTCGTTCCCAGATCACCAGCTGGTACACTGACGGAGAGACCTGGTACACGCGGTTTGCTGATCTAAGCTCGTCATATGAAGAATGTCGTGCGGAGTGTGTCGGGATATATCTTTGCACAAACAGACAGGTCCTGAGGTCAGTGGCCTTTACCTCTAGATAAGGCATTGAGCATTTTAGGGAGTAGATTGTCTTAAGTAGAAAGAAGTCCCTGAAGTGATGTGGCACACGTCTTTTGGGAGTGAAATGGTAAATAAATGGACAGGTATCCGTAGATATTTAAGCAATAGTAAACGTTTTCCGTGTTTGCATAGCCTGATATAAACACGAGAGGGGTTGGGAGAATGCGAGACAGTTATGCAAACCCGAGACGAAGTCGAGGGTTTGCATAACTTTCGAGAAAAGAAGGTTGCGGATCTCCGGTGTCGTTTTTTAAAAAGATAACTAAAATATTTTATTGAAAGGGCTCTTTTTTGCGTTTTGAGAAACATACCGTGACTAATTTTCTCTTTAAGAATGGTCAGCGTTTCAGACGTCCACGAAGTCTTGCACGCGTAATCAGTTCTTGTTTTGCAAAAAGATGCTTTCCAAAATACGGATTTTTCTAGCTTAAAATGTCAGCGTAAGCGAAGAAAAATTGACACACCTTCTTTGTAACGATTTTCCAAGTTTCAGCCGACGAAGGAATGGGTAAATAAAGTAAACTTGTGGAGTTTTGAACTCGAAAACTTTTTCAAATTCGTGCTTGCGTGATTAGCGCGCGAAAAGCAAAACATCTTGACGCCACAACCTTGTTTACATACTCTCATGCAAACACTCCTCTCGGCCAATCAGAGGGCGCGTACTATCTTAGTTATTTTATAAATGCTTGTATTCCACCCTCTGCGTGATGGCCTCATTAGTAGCGGCAGCTTTCCGTTGATCTAGCAAAATAAATTCAATATTGCGCACTAAGTGGAGTTTGACACGTTAATACTAGACTGTTCTCAGTCCCCTATTTTTCCTTGCGATAACTGAGGTCGAGAAGTCGCCATCTTGGTTTTAAATGTTCAGAGAAATCTGGGGAAGGAGACAGCAGCTTGATGAAAGAAAGTGTATTGTATATAATGTAGCATCGCTTTCTCAGAAGTAAATGAAATGGTTAAAAATAGATTCCATGGTGCTGCGCGTCTGTTCAGTTCAGCTCACCAATGATGTCAAAATGTAAGAAAAAAAGTGGCACACGATCCGCAGGGGAGGTGTGGCGTTGATAGCATGTTTTGAAGTCTTCTGTGATCTAATTCTGTACAGAAGCACGGCAACATGAAATCTATTTGTCTTATCCGATGGATAGGAAACATAAACAACAAACTTGCTTCTTGGGGCTCGCTTTTCGAAGATTTGTGCCAGTTTGGACATTTTCCAAGTCATCAACGGGACTTTTCGTCTCGTCTTTTTTATCTTTGTTGTCCTGGTAAACAGCTTTTTCTGAGCTTTTTACGAGACCTTCACTTTATCAATTTTTAAAACCGTCGCTTAGCGATGACAATTATTTTGAAGAATTCTTCCAGTTCAGGCATTTTCAGGTCACAGACAACGCCTTTTGTCCCAGGTTTTCTTTTTCCTTACTTTTTTGAGGCCTTCACTGGCTCAATCCGATATAGTCTAACCAACACTTCTAAAAATGAAAATGAAGAAATGATCGTCGCAGTGAACGCAATTTATGCAATTGCGTAAAGAAGCCTGAAAAAAAAAATTCAGAACTTCAACGGGGCTTGAACCCGTGACCTCGTGATACTGATGCGATGCTCTACCAACTGAGCTATGGGTGAATTGTGGGTTCATATGTCCCCGTGAAAGAATTTTTTTTTCAGGCTTCTTTACGTTCAATTGCGTTCACTGCGACGATCATTTCTTCATTTTCATTTCATTTCCGCAGTTCATATATGATTTATTACACTTCTAAAAACTCCGCGCCATGTTGTACACAACAGAGAGAGAAAGCAATTTTTCGGACGTCATTCGTGTGTCTGTACCCTAATAAATGATAGGAAAGGACCAAACACCAGGCGCGTAACATTCTGTACCTTGTATTAACTCTAACAGATTTTAGGCAAGGACCAATCACAGCGCGCGTAGTATTCATTACTTTGTATAAATTGAAATGGTAGTCGTTATCGTTACATTGAGCCGTGAGATAAGCTATGCAAATAAAGGCATATTGCTTTTCTGATGGTCTCAATTGGATGTGGTTATTTGTCCTTGTAGAATCTTTGGTCATGAAGGTACAGACGCAGACAGTATAGTGTACATTAACTGGCTTAACATGGTACGAGCAGGGCTTCTAGGACTGGAATTTTATACCCCTGAAAACGACAAATGGAGGCAGGTTGGTGTTAGTAGTATATCGATTGTTTAACAGGTAATAAGCGCAGATATTTTTTCGATCCCCGAAAGGGTAAGAAAAAGAGCGAACAATCAAAAAAATGTCCGGTGTTTTTTTTATCATTATTTGGGCGTCGCCCAGATCGCTTGTTTTGATTCAAAGTTGCAATAGGCACGCAACACGTGCGACCGTAAACAAGCCAAGCGACGTGAATCGACTCGTACAAAAGCATGCCGGAAAGAAAGCTTTCCTAGCAGGGTACTTGATCCCACTTTTACGATCTCAACAACCTTGCAAGAAAGAAACACAGTTCCGAGCAGTGCGGGTACGGAGAAATAAAAAAGCGATGAACATGCTAAAGCAACGCCTCCAGACCCTACAGTACAGGTACCGGTCATTGCCCTTTTTCATTGTAAAGACTATTCATTACCAGTAAGCACATGTCCTCTCAGAGAACGATATTTTTGCGCGGAAAAGATAAACTACAATAAATCTTAAGCTTACCGTACTTTTATCTTACCGGGAAACCGGGCAATTTTTCAGAAATTTGAAGGTAAATCTTTCAAAAATAATTGGTTTTGATAATATTTTAGCCCTCAGTTGTCGACAGCCAAAGAAGATGTCAAGCAAAATTCCATGATCATGCATGAGATAAATAAGAGATTGTTTCAGTGAGGAGAATGACATGTGATGAGTGGCCACATATAAAGTTTTTCGGCAGCTTGATAATTTTATTGGAACTCATTGTTGTTAGCCTGTTAATCTTAAAGTTGAATGATGCGTAATTTCATTGCAGATGTTCGGCGTGCAGATTTTTTTAAAACCCTTGGGTTACCTAGATTAAGTCGTATTCTCTCACACACGAACCACGAAAGCGGCAAATTCTAAAGCTTTCACGTGCAAACTGCGTGACAATACAACTCACAGTAAGGGCCTTATTATACATGAGCCGGGCTGGCTGATTCTGCCGAGGTGACTTTTATCCCGGTATTACATGAATAGGGCCAGCCCGGAGCGGCTATTTTTATATAGAGATTGGAAGCAGTGCGCATGAGTATTGTGTTACCCGCTGTCCTGTTTCTCGCTTGGTTTATTCGCCGGGCTCCATGGCAAGCGTGATTACTTGTAACATTTTCAGGCGGGATTCCGGCATCACAATACTGGGATCCCAGCTAACCGGGCTGACTCGGTTGCCATGTAGTCGCAAAGCTGATTTATGTTGCGTTTATCTAAAGATGCCGGGATCTCTGCAAAGCGAGCCAGCCCGGCTCATGTAATCAGACCCTTAGTTCTATAGCCAGATTTTTCGCCCTTCCCCTTGACCTCACCGATTTTTCAAAGCCCCTCGAATCCATACACCCAAAATTTCAGCCCCCACAGACATCTTCGTACCTCCTTCTCCATATTAAATGAACTTTCCCTTATCCACGCTCTATCCATCTGATCTAAACAGAAAGCGTTACAACATTTAAAATAAGTACAAAATATATGTTTTCGACTATTGATAAGATCTTTCCATCCTCGGAGACCCAGGGGCAGTCAGTCGGGTTGGGAGAAAGGACGTGACTAAAGTCTTTAAGTACGGGCGAAAGAGCCCCTGGGTACCGACTCTCACCGAGCTATTTCCAAAACTTCAAGCGGATGCCGGCTCCTGATTGGGCACAAAAAATGCTTTGTATTATTGTGCCCAATCGGCGAACAGTTTCTCCTGAGTTCTTTTCGTGAGTTCGTACACAACGACTATTGTTTTGCCATACTTGCACGGTTCGTTCACCAAGCATGTGCGAGCAAGGGAAACTTTTATTTTCTACTTTCCTAACAAGAAACGAAGGAACTACCGATGAGTCGAAAAAAACTTTTGGGATGCTATCAGCAGGAGCAATTCAATTTGCCCCGAGAATATTCTGTTTTTGACTCATCAAGATGCGGCGGCGACGAGAAAGTCAAATAAGCAATAGCTTGACAAGGCAAAACAACAACTTTGCAAGAGCATCACACTTTTTTGTACATTTCTTTGCCGTCAACTGCACGACTACCCGTGAAAATATCTAATTTCATGTTTTGTGAAGGACGTAAACAAGCAATAACAAAATTCATTCTCTTCATGTACTTGGATATGGTTGATAGAAATTCAGCTCCAGAAGAGTTGGATAGAAACTGAAAAAAAAAGTGAATTCCATTTTCCATGCGACGATTTGGTGGTTGTCAGCCGTCGTGGCAATTTTTAAAAATTCCCTAGTATTTACGCAAGACGTGACCGATGCAAGCGTGAATACCTGTTGTAAGCCCCAGCTTGTATTTATGGAAAACCGTCTTTAGTTTTCGGGCAGACAGTATTTTGAAATCAGATGGGGATTTTATATCAAACTGAAAGTTTCCTGACTGAGTGCATTTCTTTGGTGCATGAGCCAGACAAGCTGTGATCGAAACAATAGCCGTCGTGTACGAACTCACGAAAAGAACTTAGGAGCAACTGTTCGCCGATTGGGCACAATAATACAAAGCATTTTTTGTGCCCAATCAGGAGCCGGCATCCGCTTGAAGTTTTGGAAATAGCTCGGTGAGAGTCGGTACCCAGGGGCTCTTTCGCCCGTACTTGAAAACTTTAGTCACGTCCTTTCTCCCAACCCGACTGACTGCCCCTGGGTCTCCGAGGATGAGATCTTTCACAACCACCACGTCATTCCAACTGACTGTAACTACACTATCCCTGCATAACCAAATTAGCACTCCCACAGCTACCTCACTGCAACACGTAAAATTAATTTTCCGTCCAAAAAAAAATATTTCTTGTTACTTCATATCAAATTCAGTTTCACTGATTAACAAACTACAGCCATTTTCTTACTAATCCACGTTCAATATGACTGACTGATAGTGCGGTAGCCAAACAACTTCATCATCACATCAACATTGTCTATGCTAGTACGATATTTGAAATTGTGGCAAACATAATTTAGAGATCCATTACTATACTAGGAGGGTGAACCAAGTAGGGGACTACGTGTCCTATTGTTCTCTCCCCTGTACATTGAACGAATCTATAAATAAATAAATAATAAATAAATAAATAAATATGCGGACGATAGCCAACTCTATTTATCATTCTGTCCTAATGATAATGCAAATCAAGAGGCCGCCTTAGCTAGGGTCGAAACATTGGTAATTGGATGCTGAACGACAAATTGAAACTGAACGATAGTAAAACTGAATTCATGATCATTGGCACATCGCAGCAACGAGCTAAAGTATCTATTAATAGCCCTCGTGTCGGGACTGCAACTGTCACCTCTGTGTCGTCTGCAAGGAACTAGGACTCATGGTTTGATTCTAAGCTGGCGATGGCAATCCATATTTCAGTCTATCTAAAGGCAACACCAAGTGCTGGTTCATGCCTTTATTTCATGCAGAATCCATCACTGTAACAGTCTTTTATATGGCCTGTCGGAGTATCAACTCAATAAGCTACAGCATGTGCAGAACGTGTGCAAGATTAATATGCAGTGAAAGTAAATATTGTCTCATTACTCCTTCATTAGTTAGATTTACATTGGCTGCCTGTAAAATTCAGAATTGAATTTAAAATCCTGTTGATTGTTTTTAAGATTTTTAAGAGCTTGGCACCTTCGTATTTAAGTTTGTTAATTACTCCTAAGCCTGTATCTAGATATAACTTAAGAAGTTCTAGCGACAGTACTCTACCTAGTTATCCGAATGTTAAGCCCAAAGCAACTCTCGGTGAACGGGCCGTTCTGTTTGCCGCACCTAAGTTATGGAATGTTCTACCAAGATATATCAGGGAATCCATTTCTATTGACACTTTTAAGGGAGTGCTGAAGACTCACCTTTTTAAAAAGCATTTTGAACCACTTAGAGTATAAGAGTGTATTTTTAGCTTAGATTATAAGTTGTTTTTAGCCTATAATTTTCAAGATTATGCTAACGGATTTTTTCTTTTTAACTTTTAGCCATTAGTTTTTCTATAATATTATACATGTATATATATATGTATATTATCATGTTTTATCATTTTTGTTATCAAAATTATTCTTTATTATTATTATTATTATTATTATTACTACTACTATTGTGTTTTTTCCCTATGGCGCATTTGAATATATTGATATTTTCGCTTTATAAGTTTTGAAATTAATTTGAAATTAATATAACTCCACGCCTTCCACTTCACTCATCTCAACCAACCCCTAAAATATACACCGCTACTGCACTACTCACACAGCCCTATACACTTAAAAAACTTCACATACGCGTTGTACAACGACGCCCAAATATACGCTCCCACAGTGTCTTGTTTTGTTTTATTTTGTTTTGTTTTTTTTTTTAATTTGGCTATGCATAGCGAGTAACCAAATGAGTTACTGCAGGTTTTCTTTTCCTTGTGCTGCAAAAGGCTCAAAAATCGATTACGTTTTTGTTCCAGCAATAAGTTGGTAACCCTGTGGCATTAGATATACGATAAAAGGTAGCTAAATTGCAGCTTCGGTTTGGACAGAGAAAATAAGGTTGGCAAGTCATAACCATTAGCCATATTTGCCTCTTTCCAGGCTCACATGCAGGCACGGTATGTCATTCTGCGCGTGCTCCTTGAAGCTGGTGAAGGACTGGTACAACTGACCAGTGTCACGGGCTCAGACGGCAAACCGGATGTGTTAATAAAGCTAGATAAAACAAAAATTGAGTCAGTTGGCAGACCAGCTATTGGAAAGTTCCTCAAAAAGCTTCAGGTGAGTCGGTCTCTCTCTACNTTATTATTATTATTATTATTATTATTACTACTACTATTGTGTTTTTTCCCTATGGCGCATTTGAATATATTGATATTTTCGCTTTATAAGTTTTGAAATTAATTTGAAATTAATATAACTCCACGCCTTCCACTTCACTCATCTCAACCAACCCCTAAAATATACAACGCTACTGCACTACTCACACAGCCCTATACACTTAAAAAACTTCACATACGCGTTGTACAACGACGCCCAAATATACGCTCCCACAGTGTCTTGTTTTGTTTTATTTTGTTTTGTTTTTTTTTTTAATTTGGCTATGCATAGCGAGTAACCAAATGAGTTACTGCAGGTTTTCTTTTCCTTGTGCTGCAAAAGGCTCAAAAATCGATTACGTTTTTGTTCCAGCAATAAGTTGGTAACCCTGTGGCATTAGATATACGATAAAAGGTAGCTAAATTGCAGCTTCGGTTTGGACAGAGAAAATAAGGTTGGCAAGTCATAACCATTAGCCATATTTGCCTCTTTCCAGGCTCACATGCAGGCACGGTATGTCATTCTGCGCGTGCTCCTTGAAGCTGGTGAAGGACTGGTACAACTGACCAGTGTCACGGGCTCAGACGGCAAACCGGATGTGTTAATAAAGCTAGATAAAACAAAAATTGAGTCAGTTGGCAGACCAGCTATTGGAAAGTTCCTCAAAAAGCTTCAGGTGAGTCGGTCTCTCTCTACTTATACATCTTATCACATTTGCTTTTTGCCTCTGCGTTTCCTTTCTTCTGTTTGCTCTCGCTGCTTTTTGCAGGCTACAGAGAATGAGATTTTTCTTCATCAGTGTACTCATGCATCGATCAGTGAGGGTAGACTTAAACTCTGTCCGCAAACTACTGTCCCCAATTTACCCAGCAACCCCCTGTTGACACTGAGTATGAAGTCTAGCCTTGTCTATAGATTAATATGTGGTTAAATGAGGGGAATACTACTAATCATTAATCAACTCATATATTTTACCATCCATGGTGTTTGTGGCAGGTTTTCAAGTCGACGGCGGATTACGTTTCCGGAAAAGGTTTGTACGATCGCTACTCAGTAGTAGATGATGAATTTCTCGCTCTTCGAAAAACAGTTCTGGCCCGGAAGACGCCGAGAAGGATGTTTGTCCAGGCCCACACTAGTCTGACAGGTAAAAATGTATTACACAGGCTCACCCCAGGTTTTTTTCAATGTGAAAAACGTGAATAGCGAGTAAAATGTACGTCGGTGCGTCCAGTATGCTTCTCAGAATTTTAGGGAGAGATAACGAGTGTTTGTTTGGAAACCAATAGAAAGAAGTGAAAAGTCTTATACTTTGTTCCTAAACAGCAACATGTCCTCCAATATAACTTTTTACCTTTCATACTAAATGCCACACAAACACAGATGAAAATAACAGTTTTGTGTAGTGAAGTAGCAAGATGTTTAGAGTGTCAATCAGATGGCCATACCAAAAATTTACAACTGTTTCTTTCACTCATATTGCACCCACTTTGTTATATTTCTCCCCTTCTCCTTAAATGTCAACAACCGTTCTATTAGGCCGTCATTTACTGGAGAGATTGGGAAGCATGAACCTGCTTATTATTGGGGTAAAAATATCCAGGGATACTGAGAATTGCCAAGCAAAACCAATTAGAGGAAAACTTCTTGACTTTGCAATATATTGAGGGGCGGTGGGGAGCAACGGTTGGCGCCGTGTCGAAAGCGCTTGCCTCTGGTCAATGTGGCTCGGATTTAAATCCTGGCTTTGACTTTTTATTTTGGTTGATATTGTTGCTCTTCTCGTCCAGTTCTTTTCCGAGATGTTTTTTTTTTTACCCGGGTACTCTAATTTACCCTAACTATCCTTAAACTCTTGCAAATTCCTATTCCATCCGGGAGACACAAATACCGCAAAACGAATTCTTTAGAGCCCCTAACGTTTTACCAGTAAATAGCTAAGTTACTTTTACATTATTACTTGCCAGTGGTGTTTCAAGTCTTCGACGTCCACGCTACTTATTCCAAATTTAAACCCAAGTTAAGGGGGACGTTGACGAAGTTCTCAGAGTTTTCATTTGCCTCTTTAAACTTGAGTTTTCCCCTTGGTTTATTTATTGTTTTCGTTTTCACAGATGACAACTGTGTTACCCTGACAGAGTTTGAGCCTAGTCCTGCTGGGATGATCAACTCGTTTACTACTCGTTTTGCTAGACACGACAGTGTGTTGGAAGATCTGTGGAAGGCAGAGATGCCCTACCATAGGCTGTGATCATTAATAAATAAATGATGGTTTTTCTTTGCTTCCAACCTTTACTAGGAGTTTTGAACCTGGTAGCTTAAGGTGACTCGACCCAGTTTTTTTTTTTTTGGGGGGGGGGGTACCATCCTACTTTGAAGCTCTCTGGTATCCCCACCTCTACTTTTATCGTAAGTCTAACACATAGAATGGATAACATATAGATCAATCTACAATATAATAACATAAAATTTTTGGCGATCGGAGTAAATGTCACGTGGTTATAATGCCACGCCCCTTTGAGGTCTGAGTCGAAAATCTGCTGTTTCCGGCATTTTTTCGTGAAAATCTCTCGGCTACACATAGTGCGCATTATTGCCTTGCGCTGAACAGAGTTTCACCAAAATCGCAAAGACCCAATTCGAGAAATTCAGCGGTTTCCAAATTTAGATCATAATTTATGCGAAAATGATAAGCAAACTTTACACGGATTATATCTAATAAACTATGAGACTCATCTCTTTATTTTGGACATCGTTATAACAGATGGGTCCTTGCAAGTTAGCAAAACAATTTAGGGCCTTGTAAATGAGCGCGATTTCGAGCAAAGCAAACATATACAAATTATAGTTTTCGCTATTTGTTGACATTTGTCAGCGTTTAAGAGTCAATCTCACGAAAAAATCATTTTCTTAAAAATTCGTAGTTTTTTTTTCTTCAAATTTTTTCAGGGCCACAATTGATTAACTAACTACCCGGACTCTGAATTTCATGGTCATTGAAAAACTGTGACATTATCTTCTATAAGCCCAAACTTGAGTAAACATTGAAGATTTTTAGCGTTTTGGCTGAGTTTGTGCTTTGGGAGTTGTCTATTGTTTCTAGTCTGTCATGGTACAGCATTCTTGTTCAGCATGCGTGCAATGACCGCGCTTGGCTGACTTCCGAATGCTCACCTAGATATGATAATTTTGGTACAGTGATACATAGAGGTTTAACTCACAATTTTTAATCAATTCTCGTGCTTCTTGTGCCTTTGCAAAAAAATCAAGAAGTGCTACATTCTAAAACTACTTACTATTAAAAAAATATCATTTTTCATAGGTTTATTGCAAGCCAATGATTAAACCAACTCGTGACGGGAATCCCTTCTATTTTCTTACACTAAATTATCATATCTCGGTGAGCATTCGGAAGTCAGCCAAGCGTGGTCATTGCACGCGCGCTGAACAAGATTTTCGACTCAGACCTCAAAGGGGCGTAGCATTATAACCACGTGACATTTACTCCGATCGCCAAAAATTTTATGTTATATTGTAGATTGATCTATATGTTATCCATTCTATGTGTTAGACTTACGATAAAAGTAAAGGTGGGGATACCAGAGGGCTTCAAAGTAGGATGGTACCCCCCCCCCCAAAAAAAAAAACTGGGTCGAGTCACCTTAAGGAGATGGCCAATCAATAAGCCGCACAAGACGCCGAGTGGTTGGGGCAGGGGCGGGAATTTTACGAAACTGGGAGAGGCCATGCCGCCCAGGAAATCTCTAGTTTGTTTTTTTTCTTAATGTAGTGTAATTTTAGCAAGTAGTTTCTATGTGAAGCTATAAAGAAAGTAGCAAATTACCGCCAATGTAATTGCCTTTCTTCAAGGCAAATAAAATGTATACAAACCTTCTTAGTTAAATCGTCCAGCATTTAGTTCTTGTCATTCAAAAACAAACTTCTCAAGACAAAAGTGCTCTTGCTTTACCTTTTAGAATTTGGTTTTGTTACCCAGATAGGGAAAAAGTTGATTTTCAACCCGGGAGGGATTCAAAAGTTCGTGTTTCAAGCGTAAGCCCAGCACTGGAGTAATAAGCTTCCGGGAGCTGCAGGTAACATTTGGCACGCAACTTTTGAATCTCTTAATGATTATAATGGTTAGTCCCATTTGCCTAATGGAAAAAGTTTCTGTAGAAACTAACTCCTTTTCTTTCGCTTTATTTAAAAACAGCATTCGTCTAATTTGAACAGTTATTGTTCATTCATTACCGTACAGTCTCAGATCAATTGCACCAGCCTTTCTAAGCAGACACTCCAAAAACGTAACAAATTAATGTGGAACTTTTCCTATGTATTGTTGTAGTGAGTATTGCCATTCGTTTTTTTCCACGCGACATCATTCGTCCATTTCCCAAGCTAGGATTCCTCTCGCAATAGCGCAACTTTCTGAGCAACCTCGCTCGGCTTTAGGGCCGAGTAGGAGAGGACCCTGGGAACGAGGTTGCTTTCTACGCACGTGTAGCCGGCCCCGAGCCGGCCCTAGGACATTACCAACCTTATTAGTCTCGCTTGCGTAAGCAGCGAGACTCGTAATCTGCCACGCGTTTTTCGCCCCGGGGTTAGTCCCTTATATAGGCTATGTAGGTATGTGCCGCGCCGTTTTGGTCTGAAAAAAGGGTATGGTTTGTGCACTCTAGTCTTGAATTGGGTATGTTTTTTAGAAGAATTAGCTACTTCTTCATCATTTGGCGATAAGACCTTTTCCCTTTTAATGTTTACTCCAACTACCGTGGTTGTGTCTTAATAGCTTGTCACGCGCTCCGGTCAAGCTCCGGACTCCAGGGCTTCAGGTCTGAAATAGGGTATCAAATTTTTGATCAGGTCCTAAATTGGGTAGGGAAAATCACAGATTTTGGTCTGAAATAGGGTAAGGGTTTCTTGAAGCGTGCAGCACACCCCCACCCAACGTTTCTGGAAGTACCCCCCGGAATTTTTAGTCGAGGTTTGGGTCACAAAAGGCAGGTCATTGTGTCAGGCGTTCCTTGCGGACACCGTGGAAACTGGGACTAAGGATCGTTGCATGATCGAAGCCACGCATGTTTTGCGAAGAAAGCTTAGGAAAGATTAAATTTAGAGCTTTTCCGAAACGTGTCGGTCCACGAATTTTATCGCTTGAAAGCGT